TAATTTAAACTATAGCAAGAAAGAAGGATGATATTCTCTCTCTCTCTCTCTCTCTCTCTCTCTCTCTCTCTGTGTGTGTGTGTGTGTGTGTGTGTGCGTGTGTGTGTTTAAAGCTGCTATACAGTCACATGACACTTCAAAGAAGTGGAGGATAACTGACTGACTAACAAACCAAACAACCCAAGATTAAGTACAAACCAAGAGATAAATGATGTAATCCAGAGCCTGGGTAAGCTTGGGTGTGGTTTCATGGTAGAATGATGGATTATTGTAGTAAGTTTGATTGTGGAGATGTAGAGGAAGATGGAGAGCATCAAACATATGATGTATGAGAATTGATTATAAATGATGTCTTTTAGCAGCTGTTGTTCCTTCCTTAGCACTCAAGCAACTCAAAGATAACACAACATACAGTATCCAGATTCTCTGCGTGTTTTCTACCTCTATATAGCTTTTCTATATGCTCTATTTCTTTTTTTTGAATTTTTGGTTTTTTTGAGACAAGGTCTTTCTGTGTATCTTTGACTGTCCTGGATCTCACTCTGTAGACCAGACTGGCCTCGAACTCTCAGAGATCTGCCTGTCTCTGCCTCATAAGTACTGAGATTAAAGGTGTGTTTATTAAAGGTGTGAGATTAAATGCCTAACTACTCTATTGCTCTTTTTAAGGATTTCTTTTATCCTTTTTCTTTTCTCTCCCAAGCCTTCATGTATTTTTAAACATACTGTAAACCATTTAGAGTCTTTTTTTTTTCCTGAATCTGTCTTACTGTATCTCTGTCTTTTTCTGATCACATGAGCCTTTAATATACTAAGCAATATGTCTATGATTAAAGCTGTAGTTTTGGTGACTGGCTCTACCCCATTCCCTAGCTTTTTGAGAGTCTAGATTCATGGTGGAGGTACTGGTGGGAGACAGACTTATTGCCACAACTCTGAAGAGTTTCTAGTTCCATGCCACCACCAAAAACTCTAATATTGGCTGCTCATAAACACACTAGTGTGAAGGGAGACGATGGAACCTCAATTGATAAGATGCCTCCATAAGATCAGGCATCTTAATCAATGATTGCTGAGAAAGGGCCCAGACCACTGTGGTTGGTGCCATCTCCTGTGTGGTTGTTGGTCCTGGGTGCTATAAGAAGACAAATGGAGCAAGCCAGTAAGCAGCATCCTACAAGGCCTCCTCATCAGCTCCTGCCTCTGGGATCCTGCCCTGTTTGACTTCCCGTTCTGACTGCCTTGCATGATGATGTGGAGTATAAGGATAATACACTTTTTCCTCCCCAACTTGCTTTTGGGCACAGGGTTTCATGGCAACAGTAATATCACTAAGACAATGATCACATTTGGAGCCTCTCTACAGATCTCCTTGCTATGCCTACAGTTCACATTGTCTCCAGTGTTAACACAGTTCACTGTGGATATCTATTTATCTGTTACTTATTATTTATTTGGAGGTCTCCAATCTTGCCTCTTAACTGAGGCTCCATGCTCTGATCACCTTTCAACCATACTTTCGAAAATGAATATAGAGGCAATATCATGGACATGAGTTCTGAACAAAAAGTTAAAGGGTAAAAATGGGATTTTCCACTAACTTTGCAATTATTATAAAATTATGAAGCTTATGATATATATATTGGACTTATGATTTGGAAGATGAGTAATATTCCTAGTCTCTTCTAATTCTTTCTGTGTCCATCAGGGAAGAGTATGTGCTTCCTTCTCCTCGGAGTCCCACTGGGTCACTCCGTGTTGCCTTCATAGCACATATCCCTTGAATTAGCATTTGTTTCTAGTATGTACACGGTACTGCAATTCATTAATTTCTGTGGGCTCATGCTACCAAATGGTTGGTTTTGTGTCTCTGTGGAACTAGCTCTCCTCAGGGAAAGGCAGAGTGTCTCTTTTCTGTGGGTGATTCCCTCCCATTATGAAGAAGGTCACTTTAAGATAGAAAATTTCTATCCAGTTTGATTTGTCATATAAAACAGCATTATCAATAATAATAGTTAAAACGACTATTAAAGATAGGTGGAGATCTCAAATCTTAGGAATTTTATTTAGTCTACATAGTAGACTATAAAGGACCCACCACTGTCTTTCCTACTTCACAAATAAGGACACTTTACTAAATTTCTGGTGCCACAATTGAAATCCTATACATGAGGTAGCTTAAAGAGCAGAATGTTGTTGGTCTTCCAGTCCAGACATGTGAAGTCCAAATTACCCTGCCATTCCTCATAATTCTTGCTGAGGCATGAAGAACCTGTTCCCAATCTGTCCCTTGCATCTCTCTGTGCCCGTCACACCCAAGTTTCTATCATAATGTTCCATGACTTAGCTTTTTAATTCACTGACCTCTTTGCAATTACCCTAAGCCCAGATAAGGTTACATTTTGAAGGACTGGGAGTTGGTGTGTCCATGAGGGAACTTTTAAGGGGATACAGTTCAGTCCACAGCAGTTGCTATGATCCAAAGAGGTTCATTCTTCTTAAAAACATACAACCGGGATTAGAACACAAACTATACTTGGAATATCTTTTTGGTTATATTTGGTTTGACCAGTGGAACTAACCCTGCCTCAATGAAAATGGCTTAAAAACTGGGATTGGTGTGGGTGAGTCTGTCAAAGATGGAGCGATGGCAAAGAACCAGCATGGCTGGGAGCCAGGATGGGTGAGGCCCAAGAAGTACACGGGGGGGGGGGGCGGGGTGATTTGTGAGGCCCACTTATGAGGTGAAACAGTGCAGGGTGTAGTGTGTGTGTGTGTGTTGTGGGAAACACAAACACTCTGATTTACACTTCGAAATAATTATTCTTGATCTCTATGGAGAGTGGGCCTTGTATTGGGGGTGGGTGGGAGGGGTGTGTTGTGAGTGACTGTCTTCTGACCCAAGCAGCTATCATCTTGGGGAGGAGCACCCCAGTTAGGTATGCTGACTGATGACATCCCCTCATTAACAGGGATGGTCACTGAGACCCCCCTTTTCTGAGTCTCCAGCTCCGCTCTATCGCATATTATATGTAACCCTGTCTTAATTGAATGTGACCTTAGGTAGGCGATAGCTTATGATACATACTAGGGGAAGATGAGGACATGACTTAGGGGTTCCATATATGCAACTACAGAGAAATCCTCATCGATGCTTGGTCAAGGCTTTGCAAGTGCAGCCTGTTGCTGGAAGAAGGCCCCATGCCTCTGTAGCGAGCTCATCCCTCTTTGTAAGGAGTCAATAAATTCATTTGTTCTCCAGAGTGAACCTTGGATGGGACGTGGCCTCTGTTCGTTATGGGGTGGGTTCACTGCCTAGGACTCCCCTTGGAAGGAAGTTTAGCAACAAGGTGAGGACAGGGGCCTAGTTAGCATCATTCATTCACATCACTAGTAAGAATGTGTGGCACGACAGTCACCTTCCCTTCTTCCCAGCATCATTCCCAGCAGGTTTGAGTTCCCTGCAGTCAACCATGATTTAAAGGCATCAAGCAGAAAATTCTAAAATAACTCATGAGGTTATGTTTTATCTGAACAGTGGGATAAAAGGCTTTGGCATCCCTCCTAGGTTGTGAATTCCCCTTTTGTAGAGCATCCTCTTATATATCCTGCCACCCACTAAATATTCTACCGCCATCATGATCATCAGACTGTCAGGCCATCAGGCAATGGTGTCGGGACCAGGGACTCCTTTTGATGTGGCACTGAATCAAGTCTGCGATAGAGAGAAAATCAAGTGAATTACCACAGTGAAAGACTTTGAGGATGCCCTTCCCGCCTCTGAGTCTGTGGAGTGTGTTTAATACCAAGCCAGCTTCTGAGCTTGGAAAGCGGGTAGAGACACTAAGACTAGTGTTTGCTGCCAGCTAACAGAGCCAATGCAGTCATTATATTCATTCCAAAAGGTCACACATCAAGGTGGAGAGAAGCACTTAATACTGGCATTTTCCATGTCCCATTACGGTGCCCTCGTCACGGAAGCAGCTTTCCTGTCAGGAAACTAGGAGCCAGAGGCAAGGCTCTGCTGACTGAGTTAGCGCCAACTCTGCTGCCCCTCACCCAAGGTTCCCTGCTTTCCTCATCGACTGGAAACTGGCCATGACTTCTAGGCAGTCCCAGCTCCCTCTGTAGCTCAATTCTTTGAAGTCCGAATACCAATTTCCATGTACAAGAGGCAGGCAGTGTTGGCTCCCTCAACTGTGAAAGCCAAGGAGTCAGGTCCCTGACAAGGTTGGCTTGGAGTGGCTCACTTGGATTTAGGCTTCCTGTAGAATTCCTGTAGATGGCCTGAGAATATATTTTGTTACTCCATGCAATAACATTCTAGAACACTGTTTCTCTTCTGCTCTTTCCTAAGCAAGCAGTAGTCACTGGTAGTGGCGTGAATCAATGTATATAAACTTTTGTAAGCTCTTCTCTTATTGGTGGAGTTTCTTTCTTTTTTTCTTTTCTTTTCTTTTCTTTTCTTTCTTTCTTTCTTTCTTTTTTTTTTGCTGTAGATGTTAACCTGAGTCATTAAGGTTCTCTCACAATAATAAATGTCTCTGGGTTTCTGGACATGTTGATAGAAAAAGGTTTAAGTTTTAGGGGTTCCTTATCTTCTTTTCTGAGTTAAACACAAGTTGATGTGAAAGACATTGGCTGTTTTAGAAATAAATTTATCTATTCGTGAGGAATTAGTATCACACTTACAGTCTTAGACCATGAAGAGAGAAGAAATAGTCCCACAAGTAATGTATTATACACAAAACTCAATATTTCTCTTTCAGAATAAGAACATAATCAATTTCAGAAATTGCTTTGAGAGAGGATTGTTCATAGTGGGGAGACCTTCAATTGCATTATGTGTCACCAAATCAATTCTTTTTCTTCCTGTTTACTGAATAACTCTCATAAGATTTTTATTCATAAAACACATTTCATTTAAAAACCAATCGAACTGCTCTAGAATGTACTTGGATATTTTCAGATAAACTGAAACACATCTAGATATTCATTACCAGTAGTTCTCCATCCATGTGAGAAGCTGGAGGCTTGGAATGTTCCTGAAGGCTTGGCAGTAGCGGGGGGGGGGGGGGGCCGC